ACACGAGAGGATCCACACTGGAGAGAAACCGTATCACTGCACTGCATGTGGGAAGTGTTTCAATCGTTCATCTTCTCTACTCAGTCATACAAAAAACATTCACAGTAAGTATTCAAGATTCAGCTGAGATTCTGATAAAAATCAAAGATGGAGTTCCTCCCCAAATAACTGTCAAAACATTTTATTATTGTGCTTTCTTATTTTTCTTCACTGTTGTTTTTAAAATGACTAATTATTCTTCCACTTAAGGTGTATTTAGAAAATGAAGATGCAAGATACCAGAACATGTTATTTAATGGGCCCTTTTTTAATGAAAAAAAGAATACCATTAAAGAACTGGACTGATGTGCAGTATCGTGAGAATAGTAATAGTTAAAATCTTAATGATACCCAGGGCTCGAATTGAGGGGGGATGGCATCCCCTTGATAGAGAAAAATGACAAAAACATCCCCTCAGTAAAACCACCATCCCCTTTAGAGTAATAATGTGTATTATGTAAAACTTATCATGCAGATGAAATGTTAAAATACTCTTCTGATAATTCAAGAACTAAATAACGGCAACTGGCCAATCAGAACTTGGTACTGTATGAAGCTGCGCACAGCTGAAGCAAGTTTTCGCACAAAATGATTAAAGCGCAACTTTTTATTTTTTTATTTTTTAAAAGAAGACAACAGAAGGTATGGCTTTTCCTTGATTAGAATTTAAAGACATTCCCCTGACATAATGTTATTGTACTGTATGTGTGACTGAGAGACGATACGAGACCTGACATTATCAAGTATGTCACCGACTTTGCAACAAACAAACACAAACACGTCTTGTTCAAAGTCCAAACGCATTCACTGCGCGATTAAGCCTATTAGAATGCAGTTAGAATGCCCTTATACTTCAAGCAATGAAAGAAAAAATACCCATGTATGAGTTTTTGTTTTTATATTCATTGCACAAGCAATGTACTTTTCTGAATATCAGCACTAGTGCGCGAGCACAAATGTGCTATTAATTATTATTATTATTAATTTATTTTACAGTGCATAGGAACATGGTGTTTCGTTCCTTGAATAAATCAGTTTTTGAACGAATCTGTTTATTTATAAAGCACAATTAAAACAATGTAAGTTGACCAATGTGCTGTACAATCTCTAAATACAAATTACACGGTATTAACTTTTAGGCAAACAATGACCAACAACAACAAATGTTATAAAAAAAGCCTCTTGCTAATTAGTCTGCAGAACCAAACGCTAATTCAAGTAAATGCACTTTCAATTTTCGTTTAAAATAACCTAATGACAGAGCCAGTCTGAGACGTAGAGGTAGCTTATTCCAGCGCTTCGGAGCTGCTACAGCAAATGCCTGTTCACCACTCAATTTTAATCTAGTCCTTGGAATGTCTAGGATCATTTGATTTGCTGATCTCAGAGACCTGGGTGGTTTGTATATACGAAGGAGATCCACTAAATATGGTGGGGACAAATTATGCAATGCTTTATATACAACACTCAATAGTTTAAAATCAATTCTATACTGCACTGGCAACCACCGAAGTGATGCTAAAATCGGTGTTACATGTTGTTTTTTACTAGTACCTGTTAAAAGCCTAGCAGCCGCTTTTTTGAACCAATTGAAGACGATTTAACAATACTTGGCTAATACCCACATACAGTGAGTTACAGTAATCCAGTTTTACAGAAATAAAAGCATAAATAATACTTTCAAAATCACTGGAGAACAGAAACGGTTTAACCTTTGCTATTGATCTTAAATAGGAGAAACAAGATTTGACCTCAGAGTTGATCTGTTTATCAAATTTCAAAGAACTATCAAATTGGACACCAAGGTTCTTCACCACAGATTTACAGAAGGGAGTTAAATTGCCCAAGTCAAAAGAGTTTTGTGCGTCAGGAGCCCCGAACCAGATTATTTCAGTTTTGCTTTCATTCAAATTCAGATAATTTTGTGACATCCAAGATTTAACTTCATGTAAACAACTCAAAAGTGACTCAAAAGAGCTTTTATCCTGTTTC